TCAGCAACCATTTTTTACCAGTGTTCATATTGCAATTTTGCTGTTATCATTGCATGTTTTTACCAGAGCTCATATTGCGACTTTGTTATCATTGCTTTTCTCTGGCACTCCTTATTACTGGTTCCCATATTGTATTTATTTCTATGCTTGGTTGGCTCAGGAGATTTTTGCGGCCTAGCATATGTGCTGATTCCTTAAGTTTACAAATTTTCCAATGGTGTTCCTTGTCTATGATCTCAACAAATATGACGACAAAGATGAGGACAATAGTCCAAATAATGTACATAATACCTCATCTCAGAAATATAGACAGACAACTGAACAGTGCTAAATAAAGCAACAACTAGATGATGTCCCTAAACAGGAGCAGTGGAATGAGAAAAGTTTACCCATATAAATTAAATAAAGGTTTCGGTTCAGAATTCCTTGTAGGTTAGCCAGATGAATATACATCTGAGAAAGGACAAAGTTCACAACAGTTAAAACATTGTGATAAAAACAACAAAGATGAGGACAATAGTCCAAATATAAATCATTACAAATAATGATAACCCCTCAACCAAAAAATTTAGACAGAAAAAAAAATTATTTTTTGTAGAAGTTACTAGGGCGGCTCAATTCATTATACAAACTCATTGCAAAACTGATCCCTGCCCTCTATGAAAGCCAAAAAAGAAAAAGAGACCCAGCATAGACGTGTATATATGTTTTTGCCGAAAGTGTCCTTTTCAGACACAGACAAATAAACACATCCAAAACATAACATTCAAAAACCAGCTACAGATGTGTTTATATGTCGATCTTGATTCTTTTTGTGTCCTTCTGAACTTGAAATGAGTCCAATTGTCAACTCATGTTTAGTAGTTGTTAGCCACTGCTCATGGCCTTCAAGGTGCCCCAGTTTCTTAGTTACTATATTAAAAACAAGAGTTTGTCTGAAAATTAGACTTTTTCCAAAAATAATTGGTAGGGAAAAGGTTAATTATGGATTCTAACTATAACACAATAGGTTAACCCTAGAACACTAACCATGGGTATATAGTACTCAGCTCAAATTTTCCTATTTTTAATTACAATTTTCAGTACCTGATTTTCTTACCTAAATAATATGTTTTTCAGTTCCTCTTAATGTTAACTCAAAGTTCAAAGTTTGAAGTGTCTGCATGTAAAATATTTCAAATAAAGATTTATATTTAATATTTTTTTGATAATTTTCAAAATTGGGTATGATATACCCATGGTTAATAGTGGTGTAACTTTAATTGACGGTTAGTGTTCTAGGGTTAAATACTCTAACAAGTAACAGGTCTTAAAAACAACGAACCTAATTTAACATTATATTTAATATTTTTTTGATATTTTCAAAATCAGGAATGATATACCCATGGTTAATAGTGGTGTAACTTTAATTGACGGTTAGTGTTCTAGGGTTAAATACTCTAACAAGTAACAGGTCTTAAAAACAACGAACCTAATTTAACATCTTGCACACCAGAGCCAGCTATAAAAAAAAAAAAAAATGTCCATTATTTTCAAAATCAACCAAATTTCACTTGAAAGGCTACTTCTGCCGCTATCACTTCATCAAACAATATTAGAATAACAAGCTCAGGGCAACACCCATTTTATACTAACATGATACTGTAGCTTAAAAAATAAATAAAAAGTAAAAAAATTTTTTTAAATAAAGTGGTAACTAACTTGCTTCTGTGCAGACAATTCCATTAATCAGTCACCTGATATTATTAAGCTAATGTAAAAAATAACCCAGTATCCCACCTTTGCACAATGTCATAGAAATCTTAAAAGTCTGTTCAGCTCTTTATCGCTTATGCAATCAGTCAACTGCTGTACACTATTTACAAATCTGTTATATAGGAATAAAGTGTCGCTGCCAACACTTGAGTTTGAACATAGATCGCCAGTGAGCAAACACAGGTGATCCCATTATTGAATTAAGTAGATCACATGACCATAGAGGAAATGCATATATGTAGGGAGTAGCTGACATCTAAGTGATCTCTATTTCTACTCTATCCTCTATTACTATACGAACCACTATTCTCTACTCTATTCACGATACTATTTCTCTATTTGGATCACTATACAGATTACTATTCAAGTGAGTATTACCGAGCAAGTACTATTAGTGCAAGATTATTTGAAGGTGTCTGACACCAGCATTGTTCAATAGCATACTATAAGTTTCATATGCAATTACAAAGTCTCTACTACAATGAGCATTACAAAAGTGACGATGAGTATACGTTGGCATCAGAAAAAAAAATCTTATAAAAAAATTGACAAGTTAAAAAATAGTTTCAATTTGAATTTCTGAAAGGAGTTATTTGGAATAATATCCTCATTTTTGTTGTTATTATCATGTTTTCCCCATTGTGCCCTCTGGCCTTTTTCACATGTTGATTGATCTCAGCCAATAAATAGATTCCACATAAAATTATAGACAGAGATCAGTGTTGTAGAATATTGGTTAGCTTGCAAGTGATCTGACACACAAGTAGACTGGTGTAATCACAAGTTAAAGCTGACCTGAGTCATTTAATGGAGACATAGGTGAATAGAGACCACTCATGTAAATGTGTTGGGCAGGTCTATTCTAGCAAAATGGACCAACCTAACTGGTGCATTACATGCTCTCATATAAATGAGGTAAAATTAGCTGGCTTGCTTTTCCAATAAGACACAAGAAGGCATACTTGACATTCAATTCTTCATGTGGTTGGGGGGACCAGTCATTTTTGGACAAGTATTGATGAATAGATCATTTATGAGAATGAAAAATAAAGAAAAATGAAAGGTACATTCAGTACAGGCTACAACAACTCAATCAAAACTGGAAAGAAAAGTTATTTTCTTTGTTTGATGTGATTTGGAATCTTCATAATGAGAAACAGGCTTGTTCGAATAACAAATTGGAACAGGAAATTGCTTTCTCTAGACAAAGAAGTTGACAAGTGATATTTGCTGCATTACAACATCTATTTTCAGCTTGTAAAAATTGATGCAACAAATAATAAAGGGAATGGGATAAGTTATTCTTTATGAGGCATATTCTACAAACATGTTACTTGCTTCACTTTATACAAAACTCTTTGTCTGCTTAGCAAATCCAAGATATCAATGGATTCAGCCAAGCAAAACTGGAATTATTTTTTTTATAATGGATTTGGTTGGTGGATTTTATGACATATCAACAGTTGCTTGGTTATTTAATAAAATCTTTTTTTGTTTTTTTATTAAAATGAAAATCACAGCTAAACACGAGCCGGGCACATGCTAGACTCTACAGCTAAACACGACCCGGGCACATGCTAGACTCTACAGCTAAACACGACCCGGGCACATGCTAGACTCTACAGCTAAACACGACCCGGGCACATGCTAGACTCTACAGCTAAACACGACCACATGCTAGACTCTACAGCACATGCTAGACTCTACAGCTAAACACGACCGGGCATGCTAGACTCTACAGCTAAACACGACCCGGGCACATGCTAGACTCTACAGCTAAACACGACCGGGCACATGCTAGACTCTACAGCTAAACACGACCCGGGCACATGCTAGACTCTACAGCTAAACACGACCCGGGCACATGCTAGACTCTACAGCTAAACACGACCCGGGCACATGCTAGACTCTACAGCTAAACACGACCCGGGCACATGCTAGACTCTACAGCTAAACACTAGCCGGGCACATGCTAGACTCTACAGCTAAACACGACCCGGGCACATGCTAGACTCTACAGCTAAACACTAGCCGGGCACATGCTAGACTCTACAGCTAAACACTAGCCGGGCATAATGCTATACTCTACAGGCAAATCCCCGTCAGGTTCATAAATGAGCAAACACAGGTTGTGTTCATAGTGGAGTTGAAACATTAACATTGGCCAGGTTTATACTTGCTAACATCCTCCTGAAAGGTGATCTTTTTTTCTTTCTTTTTTTTTTTTTTTTTTTTTTTGGGAGGAGTGTCTTCCTATCTACAAATATTGCAGTCCCTGTGAAGAAGGCACTTTCATGGAAAGCAGGCATTAATTGAACTGCAGCATAAGCCATGATGAATACTTTAACGACGGAATAATGAGGCTAGAATTTATATAAATTAAAAATTCTGTTTATGGTCTGTGAGAAAACTTCAAATCTTTCTTCCCATATTTCAAAATTTTGGATAAATGTTCATACTGAATGAAAAATAATAATGTTAAAACTATTTTTTAAAGCTAAAATAAACGTAGGAAATTAAAAAAAACAACTTTATCAAATGAAGCCATATTTAGGAGAAGATATTATAAATCACTAGTTCTTAAAAAAGAGTTGAAGCAAGTTAATCAAAAACCAGAATAGACAACAGTTTCCAAGTCTAAACTAAATCTCTTATGTATGACAATAAAGAAACTTTCATTGCTCATAGTTTTAAGGTAGAATTATGTAAGATAAAACAGAAAATTCTCCACTCTATAAAGAAATACATTTCATATTGTTCGCCAGGATAAATGCATTAAAGACACTATTTTCTATATTTATGTATATAACAATTTGATTGATTGATTTGTTTTTTATCGGTTATCAAGCTCTTACAAGTTATTTAAAGCCAGAAAATATTTTTAGATTCTAAGAATCTTTTGGAGATGATAATGATTTGATGATACAAATCCTACTAATTAACCCATAGTTGGAGAAGGAGATTGATTGATTCATTCATTTTCTATGACTTATCAATCCTTTGCAGGTTATTTAAAGACAAAAAATATTTTAGAATTTTTAGAATTTTTTGTGGGGCAGGGGAGATAATAATGGTTATACAAGTTTTACTAATTAATCCATAGCTGAAGGGAGAAGTGGTAGATTCATACCTTTCCAAAGGGTATTTGCATATAAATGAATATACTGACCCAACTGGAATTGGAACTTGGCTCTCCAAATAACAATTCGAAGACATTATCCATCACATCACCAGCCCATCCAAGCTTGCATGACATGGTATTCCCATGTGGTCACCTATTTAGGTACTGACTAGGCTTGACATTGCTTAACTTCAATGATTGTATGGGAACTGGTATTTCTTTGTGATGTGGCCATAAACCTGGACAGAGAAGAGATGGATTCATACATTTCCCAAGGTTATTTATGCATAAGTGAATATGACGAACCTGACTCAAATTGGAAATCAGCTCTTCAATTTCCAATTCCAAGCTGTTATCCATTATACCACAGGCACATTTAAGCATCTGGTATTCCCAAGTGCTCATCCATCTGACCAGGTTTGATGTTGCTTAACTTCAATGATCATATTTAAACTGATATTTCAACATATGGCTATAAGCCCTATAGGAATTTGGGAACGGCTTGCTACTACAAATGCTACCAATTGAATATTCTATGTACCAGATGCCAAGCGGTTCTTGGTTATCTGGGAAGAATATGTTCCATTTTGGTGCATGCCTCTTGATGGGTTGTACTTCAAAACCACCCCCAACTGATGTGAGGCTCCACCACCTGGTCTGATTGGTTTACTGCTTGTTGATTACTTCCTATTCCTTTGGGAATCATTTTTCCAACCAACTTTCATCATTATTTTTAGAGCCAGATCCAATGGCTCACCTTTTCAATTGGCGCTTGAATATCCTTGAGAATTGTGCTTACTTTTCTCAGCTTGATTCCAATGAATTCGATACATCTCCACAAGTGTGCACCTATGTACCCTCTGCAGACAACCTCAACAAGGAAATGCTTGCTATGCCACCCAGCATCTTTCAATTTCTCCACCAGCATTTTGTACCATTTTTCTTTTACAGATTTGAGCTGCATCAATGCTCTTTTCAGTTAGATGAACAGACTTCTTCCAACACATCAGGTTACCAAATCTGGCCTTTGGTATTTCAATAAAATAAATATTTAATTCATTTAATATATCTTGAAGTAAAAATAACATTTAATTTATAGCAATGAAATAATAGAAGATATAAACTGAATATTACTTAATAACATGTAATATTTTAATTCTGAAATAAATTAAAACATGACTTCCTTTATTAAAAATAAATCTATTTTAAATGAAAATATTTATGGCATTTTGTTACCAAAGTTAGGTCTTTTCTTCCACGTTTCTCCCACTTCCAAAATAAATTGTACTTTTTGACTTTTCATATTTTTTTTTTCTTCAACAATCTGAAGAAAATGTTGAATTCTTAATATTAATTCTGGACAGTACAAAAAATTTTTAATGGTACTTTTTTGTTTGAGAAATTCATATTCAAGCTAAAAGCTTTGATGTACTTTTAGAGTTAGTCATTTTCCAGAGAAATCTACAAATGATTAGAAACACTTATTTTTCTTTTATGCTTCATATTCTTTAAAGACTTTTAATCTTGTTATCTTTTGTAGCTCTTAGTAAGGTTTGTTTTTTCACGATTCCCTCTCAGTTGTACCATCCACTTACACAAAATGCTTAGGTAGGTTATTCATTGTTCTCTCTCTGCTTCTCTTGTTTTCAATATGCCCTGTGAGTGTCAAATTATCCAAACCCTCTTTCCTCATTGTTTCCTTGAAATTTCAACTCTCCTTTCTGACTCTAAATATAAGTGTCCTTTTTGCTCACATGATCAGGCTATGGTATTCATATTATTCATTACTGGTTCCAAAAAACAGAAATTACTTATAAGTCAACCTGATACTTAGAAGTCTATATTGTTTATTTAGATCAATTTTATTATAAGCAAAGAAAAAAAGTGCTGATCTGTTATTATATCAGTCCTCCTATATCGTAGTGAATGTTGAACAATCTCCTCACAGATGATGAAGAGAGTTGAAGCAACAGAAATGTGGTTCAGTCCTCCTATATCGTAGTGAATGTTGAACAATCTCCTCACAGATGACAAAGAGAGTTGAAGCAACAGAAATGTGGTTCAGTCCTCCTATATCGTAGTGAATGTTGAACAATCTCCTCACAGATGACAAAGAGAGTTGAAGCAACAGAAATGTGGTTCAGTCCTCCTATATCGTAGTGAATGTTGAACAATCTCCTCACAGATGACGAAGAGAGTTGAAGCAATAGAAATGTGGTTCAGTCCTCCTATATCGTAGTGAATGTTGAACAATCTCCTCACAGATGACGAAGAGAGTTGAAGCAACAGAAATGTGGTTCAGTCCTCCTATATCGTAGTGAATGTTGAACAATCTCCTCACAGATGACAAAAGAGAGTTGAAGCAATAGAAATGTGGTTCAGTCCTCCTATATCGTAGTGAATGTTGAACAATCTCCTCACAGATGACGAAGAGAGTTGAAGCAATAGAAATGTGGTTCAGTCCTCCTATATCGTAGTGAATGTTGAACAATCTTCTCACAGATGATGAGAGTTGAAGCAACAGAAATGTGGTTCAGTCCTCCTATATCGTAGTGAATGTTGAACAATCTCCTCACAGATGACGAAGAGAGTTGAAGCAATAGAAATGTGGTTCAGTCCTCCTATATCGTAGTGAATGTTGAACAATCTCCTCACAGATGACGAAGAGAGTTGAAGCAACAGAAATGTGGTTCAGTCCTCCTATATCGTAGTGAATGTTGAACAATCTCCTCACAGATGACAAAGAGAGTTGAAGCAATAGAAATGTGGTTCAGTCCTCCTATATCGTAGTGAATGTTGAACAATCTCCTCACAGATGACGAAGAGAGTTGAAGCAATAGAAATGTGGTTCAGTCCTCCTATATCGTAGTGAATGTTGAACAATCTCCTCACAGATGACGAAGAGAGTTGAAGCAACAGAAATGTGGTTCAGTCCTCCTATATCGTAGTGAATGTTGAACAATCTCCTCACAGATGACGAAGAGAGTTGAAGCAATAGAAATGTGGTTCAGTCCTCCTATATCGTAGTGAATGTTGAACAATCTCCTCACAGATGACGAAGAGAGTTGAAGCAATAGAAATGTGGTTCAGTCCTCCTATATCGTAGTGAATGTTGAACAATCTCCTCACAGATGACGAAGAGAGTTGAAGCAACAGAAATGTGGTTCTAAAGAAGGATGCTGAGAATACCATGAACCTAACATGTAAGCATCGACATAATTTTAGAGAAAATGGAAGTAAAAAAGGTACTTATACACAGCATCAAAAAGAGACAGTTGACGGCAAGAGAAATGGAGATAAACAGTTCATGTCTTACCTAATGAACTTGTGTAAATGGTTGGCAGAACAGAGATTAGGAGAGATAACAAAAAGACAAAATTTACTAAAAGCTAGAAAGGATAAGAAGTTGTGGAGGGCCATGATGGCCCGTGTCCTAAAAGAACATAACACATAAAAGAAAAAGGGGGTTGGAGAGATCACCCAGATATTAAATGATCAATACTTTCCACATACTCACAAATACATAAATATAGTAAATATACTTTTTTTTTTTCCTCATTGGTAACACAACTCAGAGTTTGCTGATGAATGTCATCAATTTAACCAAAAGAAAGCTAAAATAAGCCCCTTTTTATGAAGAAAAAAGAAAAAAGTGAGGTTTGGTTATAAGGTTTGTGGACTTTACTGTGATCAACCAATCGAATATGACCTATGTTAAATTAAAACTAAGGGAAGAAACAAAAATTAAGAAATTTTTTTTATAAATGGGTCATGACCATAGATTTGAAATCAATGGAAGCAACAGACGTTAAACATGAGCTGATGTAAATGGATACATATTATACATTTAGAAAATGTCATTTCCTAAGAAAAATCAAATAGTAATCTAACAAAAACCTAAACAAGTTATATGCTTTGTGAGTTTCCTACATTAAAAAAGAAAAAAACCTTGAAAATGTCCGAAAACTTGAACCAAGAACAGAAAACCATTGTAGAGGGGGGGAGAAATAGGGGTTTTAACAATGTCATGAATAAATTTTAGAAAAATTAAATGCGTAGCCAGCAAAAAAAATAGATTGACCAACAAAGAAATATTTGAAAGGTTGGTGTTGTGAACACAATTAGAGGAAAGAAGGAGGATTACCAAGAAAGTATTTATAAAAAAGGCACAGGGAAGCTAGTTTACATTTACTTAAATATTAATCACTATAAATGAAATTAAACAGCACTTTATTAAAATATCATTTATTATTAAAATATCATTTGTAATAAATTAAGAATTCTTTTGGGAACATTTATTAAAATATTATGTTATTAAGTAATATTCAGTTTATATCTTCTATTATTTCATTGCTATAAATTAAATGTTATTTTTACTTCAAGATATATTAAATGAATTAAATATTTATTTTATTGAAATACCAAAGGCCAGATTTGGTAACCTGATGTGTTGGAAGAAGTCTGTTCATCTAACTGAAAAGAGCATTGATGCAGCTCAAATCTGTAAAAGAAAAATGGTACAAAATGCTGGTGGAGAAATTGAAAGATGCTGGGTGGCATAGCAAGCATTTCCTTGTTGAGGTTGTCTGCAGAGGGTACATAGGTGCACACTTGTGGAGATGTATCGAATTCATTGGAATCAAGCTGAGAAAAGTAAGCACAATTCTCAAGGATATTCAAGCGCCAATTGAAAAGGTGAGCCATTGGATCTGGCTCTAAAAATAATAATGAAAGTTGGTTGGAAAAATGATTCCCAAAGGAATAGGAAGTAATCAACAAGCAGTAAACCAATCAGACCAGGTGGTGGAACCTCACATCAGTTGGGGGTGGTTTTGAAGTACAACCCATCAAGAGGCAAGCACCAAAATGGAACATATTCTTCCCAGATAACCAAGAACCGCTTGGCATCTGGTACATAGAATATTCAATTGGTAGCATTTGTAGTAGCAAACCATTCCCAAATTCCTATAGGGCTTATAGCCATATGTTGAAATACCAGTTCACATATGATCATTGAAGTTAAGCAACATCAAACCTGGTCAGATGGATGAGCACTTGGGAATACCAGATGCTTAAATGTGCCTGTGGTATAATGGATAACAGCTTGGAATTGGAAATTGAAGAGCTGATTTCCAATTTGAGTCAGGTTCGTCATATTCACTTATGCATAAATAACCTTGGGAAATGTATGAATCCATCTCTTCTCTGTCCAGGTTTATGGCCACATCATAATGAAATACCAGTTCCCATACAATCACTGAAGTTAAGCAATGTCAAGCCTAGTCAGTACCTAGATCGGTGACCACATGGGAATACCAAGTCTTGTAAGCTTGGATGTGTGGGTGGTGTAATGGATAATGGCTTGGAATTGTTATGTATGTGTGTTTATATTTTTATATATTATTTTTATTTTTTTTATGTTTTTATTTTTTAACACCCCACAAATAAAACAGACAGCTCCATTATCATTATAGTACAGCATAAATATCTATTTTCAATAAGTACCTGACTGTTACGTTGTGCACGTGTTATGCTATATATAAATTATAATTATAATTTTTATCATTAATATAAATAACTGTTATTATACATTACATTGAACACTATATTATTAGCAGCAGCACTTAATGTGCAATAAATTATATATATATATATATATATATATATATATATATATAACTCAACAAATCAAAACCTACCCACATTTCTCACCCACACAAGACAGACATGCTTACGGAGATGTTGAGGCCTCACACTTATAGACACACCCACACTAATATACACACACTTACACACATCATACTCACTCACTCACTCAATCCCTAAGAACCAAATAACACACACAAACACTAAACAGAGAGACATCCCCTCTCCAGGACCAATAAAACTGTCAAACTGACCAAGGGGATTCAGAGAAGCATAGATCCATCCAGCTCTTATCTCAAATAACAACTTAAAAGAGACTGTTTGACCAACACAAGGAATGTTAAAAGATTCATGTTAAAAAGAGAAAAAAAAAACAAATGAAAACTACAGACAAAAGTTCATTTTCTCCATCAAGACATTCATTTCTGTAGTTTACTGCTACCAGCAAGCAGAAATACTTCTTGTCCCGATGATGGCCATTTTGGCCGAAACTAGTCGAGGAATCTAAATGGAATAATGAAAAAAAAAAAACGAATGAATATTAATCTACGACCCAGTGTGTCTGAAGATTTTAATATTTTTATTGTTCAAAAATATATATATATATATATATATATATATATATATATATATATATATATATATCTATATATATATATATATATTATATAATACATACACACTTTTTTACTTTGGTTTAAAATAAAATGCAAAATAAAATCCTTGCATTTGCCTTGATAAAACCTATCAGAGAATGAAATGCATGCGCTAAATTTTTCTTTTGTCTGATATATATATATATATATATATATATATATATATATATATATATATATATATATATAAAAAAAAAAATAAAGTAAAATATTTATGAATGAAAAATGCTGACATGCACTAAGTTTCTTGCAACCATTAATTTTTGGACAGTTCAGAGTCTTTAATAAATCTGGGTCACCTCCTCCCTACGTATCACCTAATTATCTATCTGATTATGCAACCAACAAAATGTTATTAAAGAATTTTCTAGACTGTGACAAATATAGCCCAGCTGGGTAGAAAAACAGAAGATTGATGTCTGAGGACAAAAACAAAAAAAATTATTTTAAAATTCCTCCAAGGGTTTCCTGCTTTATAATTTTAAGAATCCCAGAAACATCAGTTTGGGTTTTTTTCATATCAAAAGCTACTATGGGAGCCTAAAAAGAAATTAAATATAAATTGCATTTCCTTTTTCACACCAATGAGAAACTCAATTTGTGATATGAGTTTGGTGTTAAAAATTTTATCAGTTATTTGATCTCAAAGAATCAAACTGTTTTGTTTGCAGAAGACACTAATGCCATCAAAAGTTTGAAATCAGAACAAAAAATAGTAATGCAGAAACAGGCATATGGATTATTTTTGTTCATAATTTGTTCTGTTCTTTATGAAAATGACTTATTTCTTTTGGAATTGGTTAAATTTTGAGAAAATGAAAGTTTCAAAGTGGGCACAAAGTGGCTCTGAAGTGGAGGTTCAATTTACAGTGTACATTTAGTGTTAAACTGGACCCTAATTTTATTCTTATTAGGGCAATGAGTATTCAATTTAAAATATGAATAACATTGAACCAAACCCAAGCTTTGTGCCCAAATTAGGTCAGCTTTTCCTCATGTCATTCATTATGAAAATATGGATGTCATAGTTTTTATCAGATTCTTTTTTTTTATGGATTTTGATGTTTTATTGAATTTAATTACCCGTATTTCTTGAAAACATTTTTTTTTAATATAAAAATTTCAGCAAAAAACGGACTAAACTTATATATATTGCATATATTAATATAGTTAATTCCTTTCTTTACCATTGATTCTACAAATTATTGTAAGGATTACAATACTCATTTCTTTGATACCATTCCATAAAGATGACCCAAAAGTCCTACTTGCATTTAAATATCATTCAGTTGTTCTTGAGAATACACCCTGTCCCATTTGTGGAGTGAACTAATATTTTTCTGCACCAACTAACATTTCCTTATGTCAGAGAGCAAGTAGACACAAGGTCAGTCCAGATTGCTAACCACCACACCATGATAAGATGCCCAAATTATATACTTAGATAAGCTTAGTTATGGCACAAAGACATAAGTATGGGGACACCCAGTGAGGATTGAACTCACTACTAAATGATTTACAAGCCCAGATTGCTGACCATTGCAGTACAATGTGATGCTCAAATTTTTATAAAGAGAAGCTAACCAAGTAATATAGATGTGTATATATATATATATATATATATATATATATATATATATATATATATATAGAGAGAGAGAGAGAGAGAGAGAAAAAGGAGAGACGTAGATTGTATTTGCAAATAAAAAAATGTTGACCAGTGTATTAACGGAAGATAATGTTTTTGAAGCTAGCAGCTGTCTTTATAAGTGCTTTAAGCAATATATGATATTTGTTAATAAATTAAATTGTATTATCTAACCTCCTGATGAGTGGCTTATGTCTGTGAAAGTTGGAGTCAGGAGATAAGCTTTTGGATTTAATTTAATATATATATATTATATATATATATATTATTTGATATGTTTCTGTTGTTATTCCCCAACCCTCCTTAGGTTAGAATTTTTTTTTTACCAAAAGATAACCCATCATTTTGAGTTTTTCTGTGAGAAAAATTTAGCCATGGGTTAAATTAATAACCTAGATCATTACTACCTTCAAGTGAGTTCAATTGTCATTGGGTCCACCCACTTGTGGCATTTTCCCAGCCTTTGCTAAGCATCAAATTCTAGCTGGATGAAGAACACAAAAACAGAATTAGCAACCCAATTTCAAATCCCAACCGATAGTGAGTGTGTGTGTGTGTGTGCATTCCATTAAGAGAGGCATGGATCCATCTTTTTGTCCCTGCAGTCATTGTTTAAATAGCAGTGCAGACTGGGCTCTCTAGCTTACACAGGCCAACATTCAACTCTAAATTTAATTTCTGTGGAGAAAGCAGCAGCAACCCCCAACATTATATTTTCTCAACAATAACCAATTTAGTACTATGAAATTTAGTACTATGTAACTGTAAAGTTACGATTTCTATTCATTAGAAACAAAGAAGACAGTGAAGAAGATTTGCTCTCGTCTTCTGCCTTAAAGTACTAATTAGAAATTTTACATACTGCTACATACAAAGATACTTACAGCATGCTCATTTAGGCAATATTAATTTTTATACATTATAAATTAAATTTTTTTTTTATCTATAAAAAGTAAAGATGGTTGCAGTTCTTTCTGTGATATTCTGCTTTTGAAATACTTTCATGTCAGATACCATTTTGCCAGACTGCCACTAGGCTACCAATGTAACAAGGAAAAAAAATTATGGTTGATTGATAAGAAAATACAACCTCTTTTGCCATACCACCAACATCTGCCTCTGACATCAGAAACCAATAAGAGGCATCACTTTTAGAGCAAGCTTTATATATTCCATGAACAAATTAAATTTAGATTTCATATCCTGACAGAACAGAAAACTTTAACATTTAAGAAAACACTCAAAGTATTTTATTTTTTATTTCATATTATCAAGCTCAATTTGGTATCAATGCTGATGACAACCATTTGCACCTGTCTCAATGGCAAGTCTGATCAGTTCGATAGAGTCAAATTGGCAGCAGATGTCCAAAACAACCCTCAGTCTCCTCTTTCCCATTTTCAGAAGTAATGAATTTCATTCTTGATAAAGCATCTACATGTGGAATGGTATTGCCTTTCACATACTCAATATTAAGGTCAAATGCCATTAACATTAAGGCCCATCTTTGGTTCCTTCCGAGGATTAAATATGAATTTTAAAGGTCTATAATTGGACCTTAATAGGAATTTCTTTCCAATCTAAAAGTGATCTCTATTTTTCATCCATATTATGGCCAATGCTTCTTTCTCAATATTTGAGTAATTAAATTTGTCATTTGACAATTTTGTCGAAAGATAATAAGGATGACAATCCTGAGCTAATATTCCAGAAATTGAGTGTTCACTCATGTCAGTTGTTAATAATATTTCCTTTCTAGCACTGAATATTTTTACTACTGGCTTCTTTGCCAGAAAAGTTTTTAAATTTTCAAATATCACTTTGTTGTTCTTTTGTCCAAATAAATTCCACATTCTTTTTTCTTAAAGCAGCAAAAGGTTCTGTCAATTCAGATTATCACTCTACATATTGTCTGTAGAAATTTACAAGTTCTAAGAAAGATTCCAATTCTTTTTTGTTCTTAGGTACTTCAACTTTTAATATTTTGTCAATTAATGATTGGTCTGGTGATATGCTTTCATTAAATATGGAATATCCCCCAAAAAATGAAAATTGATCTAAAGTTGGCATACCATCAAATTGATGAAGACTTTAAAGAAGTTACAACAATAAACATACCAATAGGCTTATTATGATGTTATATGGTATTAAAACCACAAGTACAATTTTTTTCAAAGGACTATAGAGCAAGTTATTGGTAGCAATATAAAAAAATACAATATGATGGCATTTGTGTTGGTGCTATTAATGACAAAGAATTAAAATGGAAAACCAGTATGGTTTTGAATAAGTTAAATGCTGAATTAATAACAAAAAATGGATACACAATGCTAAAAAAGAATATAATTTTGGGGATGTTCCATATTTAATGAGGGCATA